ACTGGCCTTAAACCTTATTATAAACAAAGGTTTGGAAGCATTAGTACAAAAAAGTAAGTGTTACTTTTTGTTAACTAATGAGTGTTACTTCCTGGTAAAAGAGTGCACACCAGTGCCTTCTCCTCAGTGGGAGAGTGTCAGAACCAGATTAGTCACATCTGAAGTTGTTTTGCAAGCGTATGTTGGGATGACTAACGTTTTGTCATTCACAGGTGATTGTAACTGGCTTGCATTCTTCTTAATAGAGCAGGTTCATTCAGAAAAAGCTGGAAACTGCTGCAAGGAACAGATAGGTCTAGCAGTTTCGAATTCCTTCCAGTGAAATTTCTTTATTGTCATTGTCACTCCGTCTACAGTGGCTCCCCCCAGGTTTCCAATAAGGAAAACACAGAATCCTCACATCCTAATTTCTGCTTTTCACCAGGAAGTTTGAAAACTCTGAACAATGTATGCAAGTGCACTTTTCTGCATGTATGTTATATTCAGAACCACTTAAGAAAAGGGAACACAAAAGAGTTTATTTATATTATAGCATAATTATATTGTCTAATAGGGCTTTTTGGTTCATTTGCACACTGGACTGCAAACTTCCAGTGTATCGGAAATCATCACATTTCTAGAAATAAATAGTAACAAGTAGATAGACATGGATCTATCCTTAAGAAACCCTAGATTGGTGTAGGAGGTAATGGGAAGGTGATTTATTATGCCTTCCTCCACTGTTCTGGTTCCAGAGCCACCTGGGCTAGACAGGCAGGAAGGCTAGGGGGAGTCTGCAGAGGTTTAGCCTGGGAGAGCCTGACAGTGAGGTCCTGGGCACTGTGGTTTTGGAGTCAGAGGGTAGGCGGTCTCGCTGCCTTGCCCTGTGTGCTCGGTGGAGGGGGAGGTGAGGAGGAGTTGTAGAGGTCAGCTGTGTCCCCACTACCCCCAGGCAGGGAGGGCTGTGGAGGGCAGGCACAGAGAGGCTTCCTCCTGGCGCCTCATCTGGACACAGGCTCTCCCTGGCTGCCCCTCCAGTCCATAAGCTCCTTCTACTATACCCAGGACCACCTACTTAATCTCATCCCAATGGTCATAGAACAAAAGGAAACCATACCTAAGGGGGCCCAGCAGCCAGAGGAAGAAGAATAAGCACCGCCTGTAGGACAGGCCTGAATGAAATAGGAAACAGGTGGGCCTTGAATGAGACATGATTAGGACATGTCATGGACTGAATGTTTGTGTCACTCCCCAAATTCACGTGTTGGAGCCCTAGCCCCAGTGCAAGGGCATTTGGAGGTGGGGCCTCTGGGCGGTAATGAGGTTTAAATGGTGGTGAGCGTGGAGCTTTTCTAGGAAGAAGGAGACCAGAGCTGTCTCTGTTGCGGGAGGGCACTGCAAGAAGGCAGATGTCTGCAAGCCAGGAAGAGGCCATCCTTAGATGGGACGTGCTGGCATCCTGCTCTCAGAGTTTCCAGCCTTCAGAACTAGGAGAAATATGTGTGTGTTGCTCATAAACCACTCGGTCTGGTATGTTGCTGAAGTAGCCCCTGCTAACTATGATAAGGCACTTAAGGACATCTGGGTGCAGCATTCAATTTCTTCCGTGAACTTAAATTTTTAAAAGTCAGTAGATGAACTAGAAACAAGGATCGTTACTTTTAAGAATTGAATTGATTGCCCATAATACAAAGTAGAAAAAAATGGTTGAAACATCAGAGCCAAATACAAAGAGAGGAACCAGGGGGAAAAAGTACAAGACTTGAAGGTCAGATCAAGGACCCCGCCTAGCAATAAAATGAACCCCAGAAGGAGACAAAGAAGCAGATGGAGAAGAAAAATAGTTACAGGAAAGAGAATTTACCTGAGTTGAAAAAATATATGAGACAGCAGATTGAAAAGTTTGCTGAGTTCCAGGTAGAATAGATCTAAGAGAGAGAGAGCGCTGCAATTAGATACATTCTGATAAAATTCTTCAACTCTGAAGATGAAGAAAAAATCTTGCCAGCTTCTAGGTGCAAGGAGCCAAGGTACTTACAGAGGAAGAAGCATCGGACTTCCTGTCAGCCTTGACATTCACTGGGGGAAAGGTCATTAAGTCAAGAATTCTATACCCTTCAATGTACCCCTCATCCTTCAGGGAGCAGGGAGGACGGTTATTGATGTGGCAGCGACTCAGAATCGTTTGTCCGGTGTCTGCATCTGAGGGAAATGCTGGAGAAAGGACTCGGACGGAAACACTGGAGTCTGCACAGAGACCCCGCGACAGGGGAAGTGGGAAGGAGAAGCACGGGGGCAGTCAGTCATCCTCGTACCGTCTCATGTAACTGGACATTGAGAAATGCCCGGGACTGGGTAACAGAAGTGCTCAAAAACTACTGACCCAGCAGAGACGGTCTACAGGCAAAATCCTGATGACAGCCCAACTAGAAGTATCGAGTTATTTTAGCAAAGCCTGGTGGGGTGGGGGAAGGGCAAGAGGGGAGAAAAGTAAAATTCTTCCAAGTAAGTCGTCTCGGGTAGCCAGGTGAAAGAGGATGAAGGAGGGTGGGCATGCAGACGTGGGGCGTGTCCCACGTGCGGGGGGGGGGGGGCGCCGCACAAGGGTGGGGCCTGGAATAGACACGCGGGTGGTTGGGAGTGTGGTGGAGGGGAAGGTGACCTGTGGGGTCCGGGGCGTGTCCCAGTGCACCGGCGGAGGAGGGGCCTCAACGGTAACCCCACTGAACCCGTCAAAACAAGGGAAAGGAGAAAGGAAACGAGAACGACTAAAAGCGACGTAAACTGTGACTACAGAGTGAGATGAAGGGACAAATGGAAGCGAAGCAGTTTGCTGTCGTGCTGAGAGCACAGTCCGGGTTCAAATCCCAGCTCTGTCTCTTTTTCCCTGTGGCTTTGGGCAAGTTCTGTAACTGCTGAGGGATTTCGCCGCAGGGAAACGCGGTGGTAACAGGGCCTCCTTCATGGGGCGTCCTGAGGGTTAAACGAGTTTACACACCTAGGGCGCTTTAAACGGCGCCTGGTGCACAGTTCAATCAAGCAGGTGTTCGCTTTATTGTTTATAAAGCTTAGCAGCACTGTTACTATTTGGTAAGATGAAACAATAGTAAAAGCACTAAATCATGCAGCGAAGGTTATTATATAATAGTTATGGCCACTGGTTGTAAATGTATATGTGCCACATTCAATGGCGGCTACATATAGATTAAAAGTATTAAAAGTGTAAGAAATTGATAGAAATACTTTATAGTGGGAGAATTTATAATACCTCTTTTAAGCTTTAGAGATTCAGGAGACAAAAATAAATAAGATCTAGAAAAAATGAATAATAGAATCAGCAAACTCAATTGAATAGACAATTTTGAAACTTGTGTTCCTCGAATAGATTTTGGATGGAACATTTTTTTAAAAATCAGTCTTTGCCACAAAGCAACCTTTAATACATTCAAAACATTAAATATATTACAGACCATATTTTAGTCATAATCCAATACAATTAGAAATAAATAATAAAAATGATGAGAACCACTTAGCTTGAAGATGAAGAGACACAATTCTGACTAATCCTTAGATCAAAGAGGAATCCAAAACCGAAATTAAAGCAATAAAAAGAGAAAACACGCCACACCCAAACTATGCGCAAAGAAAATACTGTACTAAAAAAAGTCTTTGTTATTAAGAAAGAAATAATAAAAATAAAGGAACATCGTACTAATCTTTTAAAATTACCAAAAAAGATTAAAACTGAAGACAGAATTAATAATATTTAAGCTGACATCAAGCAAATAGAAAATGTTTGTAAAAGCCCAAAAGCTTTTGAAAGAGAAAGAAACCAAAAGCTTTTTCTTTGAGAAGAAGGAGAGAGAAGGTGGTGGTGGTGAGGGGGCGTGTGAAGGACAGAACAGAGGACGGGCAGTGGGAGAAGGATGTGCCAAAGACTAAGGAAACGTTCAAAAGAAACACCTGATGTAACCTTTGGCTTTTGAGGGAGGGGTCTCCTGCTGCTTAGGACTCAGGTTTTCTAGTCAGTCTGTCTGTCTGCCATAGTGCTTCAGCGTCAGCTTCTTTCCTGTTTTTGGCAGGCAGCGTGGCAGGGGCCTGGCCACTTGCTACCCATGTGACTCTGGACGTATCATTTCAGCTGTTTGTGCCTCACTTCCTGGTGGGTAACTCGGGCATCCTGAGTAACTCCCTCTAGGGACCAGTGTGGATTTGGTGCCTGTCAGCGCCTCCCAGGACATGCTCGGGAACCCCAGGGGCAGGTTCATCGTCTCCATCATTCCTTTGTAGAGTTCCCAAGATGGCTGGTCCACGAGGTCATGCTTTTAGGTCGGGTCACTCAACCTTCATGCAGGTTCACTTTCATTTCATGTCTTTCCTATGGGACACCATTCTGCCATTCCAATGTGAATATTGTCATCCAATAACTACTAGAAAGGTTAGCACTTGCTGAGTGCTTTGTATGTATCTTCTGTAATATCCACAGAGGCCTTAAGACTGTAGTCACCACTGTTGCCAACAGATGAGGAAAGGGAAGCTCAGGGCACCATGCACGCTGGCCCGGGATCACACAGTGGAGGAACCAGAACTTGGACTCCATTCAATGTGGTGCCCACTCCCCTTCTTACTCTTCATTTATTACTTCATAATAAGTAATAAGTAAATAATAAGGGATTGTTCAATGAAAATAATGATTATCAAAACCCATCCTGGAGTGCTACAAACACATCCCCAGAGTCCAGGGTTCTTGGTCTGGGCTTTGCTCCTCTCCCTGTGGCTTGACCTCCATCAAGTCTTTTGACATGGAGCCTAGTGTTTTAATTGCTAAATTAAGGGGCTTGGTGTGGGTGTGACCCCTAAGGTCCCTCTCTTTCTGTCTAGGCCCCTGGTTCTCTGTGTATATCAGTTGACTGTTAAAAAGGAGCCTCTCATGATAGGAGTTAAACATTCTTACTTAAAATCGTTTTGTGGCGCCACGAAAATTCTCAAAGGACTCCCTTGTGGCCCTCTGTGTTGCCCAGGTGCTCCAGGAGCAGATCCGTGCCCGGGACAACATCAGCTACGGAACTAATTCTGCCTTAAAGACTCTGGAGATGCGGCAGCTGTCCGGTCTGGGAGATCTTCGAGGGAGAGTGGCAAGGTAGGTGGTCAAATGCTGGGGACCCCACTCTTCAAAAGCTGGTTTTCATAAACTTCATTTTCATGGGGAATACGTTCATGAAACTCCAAAGCAAATTCTTTGCATTCTTCCTGTACATCCCTTCCTTTGCCCATAAAATTGAGCAGTGGAAGTTAGACCCGGATGTGAGCGTGCTGTGATGGCTCGTGTGTGGAAAAGCAGTGGGAGAGCTTGGCTGGCCTGTGCTGTCGGGCAGAGGGAGGTTTGTATGTTTACTGAATCCAGTAACACACAAAGCTGGGACTTAACAGTTTGCATGGCTTTTTAAAAATGTCATTTTTCTTATAATTCATTTATTACTAAATTATTTTAAAATTACAGTTGACATGCAATATTATATTAGTTTCATCTGTATAATATAGGGATTAGGTATTTATATTCCCCAATAAGTCCTAGTACCCGTCTGACACCATGCCCAGTTATTACATTATTATTGACTGTATTTTTATGTTATTTCTGAAAGTATTGGTCCGTGGTAGAATGGAAATTTTAAAAACAGCTCTTTCACCTCTGAGAGCACAGAAAGTGCTGTTTTAGCCCCTCACAACTCCAATTGTGCTGGCCGGACCCTTGGCATCCTCCTCACCTGGGCTCTGGTTAGAAATGCCCACCATCTCTCAAGTATTTGTGGACCCGTTCTGCCCTGTGCTGCTATTGAGTCAAGCACAAGTCCACACAGGAGCGGCCAAGCTCACAGGCAATTCGAATCATTCTGAGGTGAAGTTGGCCATGGTCTACAGAGGGGGTGGGAGTGGAAAAGGACTCACAAGGCCTGTTTGGAGCAAAGAGCAGTAGTGCGAGGAGATGTTGGTGCAGATGACACCTGCAGGGCCTTGCCTGCTGGGCATGCGGTTTGGGGTCTGCTGGATGAACATCACTAACAGCAGAGATTTAATGGAGGCCTGGTTGACCACTCGAGTAGTTTTCTACCCCTGTCTGAGTGACCTCCAATCTCCTTCGTATGACCCTTAGGGACAGAAACCCTGCTGAACTCCTCATCTCTCGTTACCCTTGCACTGTACCATTCAGCAGCGATGAACTGCTTGTCATTTCAGGACGAGGCCGTGCTCTCCTATTTCAGTGCCTTTGCACATGCTCTTCTTATACCCAGCATTCCTTCCCCCCTTCTTTTCTAATTTCTAGTCAGCCTTTAGGATTCTGCTCCAATGTCTCCTCCTCCAGGAAGTCTTCCTTGGTACCCCTGTCCTCATGAGCTCCCCTGGCATTTTATGTTCTATTAGGTCTCTCTCTTGTCTTCACTGCCTTGGGGTAGAGTACCATCTTTTATTTTTATAGCTCAAGGGTCTGGGAACAATCTCAGGAAAACAGTAGATAATCAATGTTTGTTTGGATGAATGATCTAAAAAATCACTGTTAATAGGGTAGAAAAAACTTGAATCCTTTCTCTGGAGGTTAGTTTAAAAAAAAAACAACTCAGCTCTGTTATGACTCTCAGAACAGTGAGGAGTTAGGACTTCAGAGCTGCAGGGCAGAGTCGAGACTTCAGGAGAACGACGAGGATCTCTTAGGTCACGGTAGTTGCGGTTGAAGACTAAGGGGGGCAATGCACGTAAGAGCTCAGTGCGGAGCATGGGACGGCATGTGCATACAGCACGTGGGAGCTGCTGCCCTTAGCTTGTTAGCTCAGGGGCAGCAGCAGCAGTGAAATTGTCCTCAGCGGTGCAATTATCCTGGTTCTAATTACGATGTGAAGAAATTATCCTGACACGCTTTCAGAAATTTTACATTTTTTTCCTGCGGTTTCTTACTAACTGCTCTCCCCAGCTTGTTCCTCCTCTGCAGCAAACACTTCTACTCCAAAACAACGACAAAGTGTGCTGTGAGCACCACATGGTTTTGCTTTGTTTTATATTGGTCTTTCCCTTATAATGTTAATGAGACTTGAATTGTTGAAATAAACGCATGTGAAATAAAAATTCTTCAGAAAAGTTTTAGCTTTTTGTATTTGGCTATGTGATTGTATTGAAGGAATATGTATGAACTTTTTAAGTAATACTCTCGAGTTAGTAGGCTGCTATATTATTTCAGATTTATTTCATAGTGTTTTGGAGGCATTGGTGATGTAATTGACAGGAAACAGGCCCTGATACCTCCCCTCTGGACCCGAGTTAGAGGGGCAAAGGCAAATTTGCAGTGGAGGTGAGAGGCACCCTTACTCCCTCTAAGCAGAGCACATCCTAAAAAAGACTTTCTCAGCATTTTCCATTTCTCCCTAAAGCAGAATATCTGAAATAGTCCATTTTTGCCTTGTTTTCTTCGTTTTTCCAAGACTCAATGAGCACATCCACTTTCCTCTATGAGGTCTGCTTGCATGGTTGATACAGGGTGCAGCCAAGGGGGGGGGGCAAATAGGGATTTGGAATGGGTTCCAGAACTCAAGGTGTTCAGGAAATATTAGGATGTCCTCACCCCTCCCCTCCACAGGTGTGAGTTGGGGAAAGGGACACATGGAGCAGAACATACAGAGCTGTTTTGTACAGCAACAGCTTTGCAGCTAACCTCTGACATGGCCATTTAACATATCTATAACCTTCAACTGGTTGCATAGATGTGTTAAATAGCTGTGGCCATGCTTTGAGCCAGGGGTATGGAAGTGACTTCCACCCAGGATGTAATTGGGGGACAGCTCCCCCTGGTTACAGCGCCTATGTGAGAGCTTGGAGATGATTGGCTCCACAACATGGGGCCACACCTACCCAGACTTACAATGGCAGCCCAGTAAACTTGGAAGAATACAGGAATGCTGGCAGGTGTAACTGATTGTAGGAGGAGTCGGAAATGGGGGTGGAGAGGAAGATTGGTGTGGGGATTTAAATCCAGGCTTGGCAGCCATGTGAGGAGAGAACTACATGGCTTTGCCAGAGTGGGGACCCCTGCAGTTTTAGAGAGAGAGATCCATGTGGTTTTGCCTGAGTGGGGACCCTCGCAGCTTTGATGGGGGGACTCCCGTGGCTTTGGTGAGAGTAAGGACCCCACGGCTTTGGGGTGCACTCCTTGGCCACGTGGCTTAGGAAGCAGGAGAGACTTTGCCTGGAAGAAAAAGGGTGAAAGGACTCTTGCCAGTCCTGGGCCATGAGAAGGTGCCGCGTAGCTTTGGATTAACTGAAGATCCTGGCGACGACACAGCTGATGGTGACGGGACCCTGAATCATGGACGTCTACTTCTTTTCCTGAAATATGGTACCCCAAATTAGGAAGGACTGTGCGTGTCTGTGGGTATTCTAAAGGACTTTGCTATTTTAATGAAGACATTAGGTCACTACTTTAAGTCTGTATAGCTTTAAATAAATATTTCCTTTCCTTTTCACAAATCTCTGGCCTTGAGAGACAGCTTTCCTCTGGTGGCGGACAAGCAAACCTAGTGGGGGGTCCTTTTGGTAATAGTATATCATACCCCCCCACTCCACCCTGTTCGGTAATATGGTGTCAGAGCCTTAGAAAATTATCTGTATACCAAGGCAGATGTGCAAGTTCCCGCAAGGTGAGCAAGCCCAGGTGCAAAGGAAAAAAAAGATAAAATTGGACATCATCAGATTAAATATTTTTGACTATCATAAATAACACTGTTTTGAATATTCACATGGGTTTTTTGTCATATGTTTTCATTTCTCACACACACACACACATACCTAGGAGTGTAATTGCTGAATCCTACAGTACATCTATATTTACCCTTTTGGGGAACAGAACAGCCCGGCTGTTTTCCGCGGGGGCTGCAGCATTTCCCCCGCCAGCAGCAGTGCATGAGGGCTCCGGTTCCTCCACACCCTCTCCGACACTTGTCTGTCTTTTGATTATAGCCAACCTAGTGGGCGTGAAGCGGCGTCTTGTAGTTCTGATTTGCATTTCTCTTAATGACTAACGGCGTTGAACATCATTTAACATACTTATTGGTGATTTGTATCTCTTCTTTGCAGAACTGTTTGTTTAGATCCTTGGCCCATTTTTAAATTGGGGTATTTGTCTTTTTATTTTTGAGTTGTAGCAGTTCTTTATATATTCCAGATGCAATTCTCTTATCAAATATTTGAAAAAAAAATCCCTATTCTGTCTTCTTTTCATATTCTTAATTGGGTACATTTGTTTAAATACTTCTATTCTTTATTCATATTCTCTATTTAATGAGACATTGTCATTAAACCTTCCTTTACTTTTTGAAGCATATTGCTTTTATTTATTTGATTATTTTATATTTCTAACGGCTGCCTTGAGTTTTTGTCTTTTAAACTTGACTGCTGCCCTGTCTCACAGGCAGCTCCTTTTGTCTGCTCTCTCCCGCCCCCTGGGTACAGCTCCCATTTTTCTGTTTCTTTGCATGTCTCAGAATTTTGTTAATAACTGGACACTTTAGGCAGTGTGTTGTTGCAGCCTTTGTGCTCACACACGCACCCTGGGGTTGGTTGGTTTGATGACCTGGCTGGACTGTTTCAGTGGCATCTCTTTCCCCCGCCACGTGAAGCCGCAGACGTCGCTCCTCAGAAGGCACGACACCGCCCAGCAGTGACAGTGCTCTCAGTGAGTCTCTCCTTGTCTCTTTCCCTCATCTTTATGAAGTTGTCCGCCTCTGTTAGTACCACACCCAGATCTTAGGCTCCACTAATTGCTGGCATATTTGCTCTCCTTTTTATGGCAATGCCCTAGAACATAAGCTGCTCTATGATCTGATTCAATTAAATTATTGCCAGCACTTAAGGGCTTAATGATGTACATATGCAATAATTATGTGTATGATATATATATATACAGTACTTATATATATGTACATGCATATATATAATAAATATACATGCATGTGTATTAATTATTACAATGTGGAAGATGAGAAAATGTTTTATTTATTTATTTAATTAATTATTGTTCAAGTACAGTTTTCTGACTTTTACCCCCATCCCTGCCCACCCCCACGTGCTCCCCACCCCCTCCCATTTCCACCCCCCTTA